AATAGTAAAATTTCCTTTGAGTCAAATTTGCTTCTGGTGACTTCATGGATATATACATATAGCTTTCTTTGCAATAAAACAGAAGTGGTCTCTTATAACCTTATGGGAGGGATTTTGAAATCTCCTAGAAGCAGTTTACGTATCTTTGAACAGACATATTAGGGTTTTGGTAGGCTACAATGGAAACTAAATTTCCAAAAACATATCTCATTGGTTGCAAATATTCATGAGAAGATGTTGCAAAGACCTGAAGAAAACTGCCTGCTCTTTTCAGTTTCTTTAGAAGTTGAATTTTTCAGTCAAGTGGCAAGTTGACAAGAAGTCCTGTTAAATGGCAAGTTCTAGGAAAAAAAGTAAAGGCAGATTTTTTCCCTTTCCATTATTGACCAAGATCTTTAAAAGTAGTTAAAAAAATGTCACGTGAGCTTCATAGAATTATGCTCATAGTAGCTGTTACTCACAAGTTGTTCTTATTGTTAGAAAAATTACACAAAATGTCTGAAGAAGCTCAAAGTACATCTAATAATGTATCCTCTGAATATCTGCATTTGGTGCAAAAACAGTGGAAGTCACTGAGATTTCTCAAATATTGGTTTGATAATTCAAAAACTTATAGTAAAATTGGTTTCACATAGTTAAAAAAAATACAGAGATTGGCAAAAGAATGGTTGTATTTTCCTTTTATTCCATTCAAAAACTCAAAAGAAGAATACTCTGACTTCATTGCTTGAGTTGCTGCAAACATAATCTTGAAAGTTTTTTGCGCTTTTGGAACTCCTATCACAACTATTACATCCCCTTTTCGTTCTTTTGTAACACAGCTCTTAAATGTGTGGGTGTCTGTGGTTGGATGCAATTAAAATCTTGCATTATTGTAAGTGCTTTAACAGAGCTCAAGAAGCAAATCTAAAAGGCCAAGGCCTGACAAACTTGGAATCTTTTTCAAATACTTTATTTTTTGACTGGGAAGAAGTGGAACTAGAGTATCTTACACTTTAAATTTTGTATCCTTTGCAATTTAGCTTAATGCATCATCATCGTTATGTATATATGTACAAAACAGGAAGTCCTTTCAGATCATATCGGCAATCTACTTCCTTATATGTACAAAAATAAAAGTTGACTGAAACAGCAAAGGCAAAAATTGATACAACATAGGCAAGCCCCGTATTTTTAGGCCTATTCAATCGTGGGGCAGAGGGGGTTTAATAGCTAAGATTGCAATTTCTTTTTCTGTGTGTGTTCCTGCAAGACCCCAAAGCAGGAACCAATCCAGATTATAATTTTTTTCTGGGTGCTGTAACCATGTCCACAAATGAGATTCCTTTGCAAGGTAAGATTACATTTCCCTATCTTGAAGTGAATTTAGATAATTTTCCCTACAATATTTTGCAGTGAATGTTGTTCATATTGGAGGAAACAGGAGGTTCTTTATGATTCCAGGCAAAACTTATAGTTGTTTAATTAAAGAGCTGGCCTTTATTAGAGCTAGCAACTCTCTGTATAACTAGGCTAACTGAACATTAGAGAAGAGAGAGAATGCAAATGTGGATTATTTTTCTGAGTCGGTTACTGATACGGACTGTGGTTAGTCTACAGTTGATCAATTAGAGTTTTCCAAATTTCAGAAATCTAGTAGAAAGGCTTTTGATCACCACGATTGCTATTTGTTTTGATGGTGCTACAACTCTGAATCTGGGCAGTCAAGTGCTTTGCAGCCAGAAGATCCTGGGTAATGGAATGCCTTTGAACTGTTCACAAAGGGATTGTTTCTAATCAAGTATCCATATACAGCTGGAAGGTTGGAAGAATAGTGTAATCCAAACCAGAAAATATGAACAGTTAATTGTTGAATAGATGCTATAGAAACTGGAATATGATCAACTGCAATGTATTTGAACTGGGTACCCAAATGATGAGTCTGGTCTATACTCTGAGATCTGTATCGGTGTTTCAGACGAGTCCCTAGAGTATTCTGCGCTAAGAGCCAAGGACAATATAGAAACTTTAAGTAATTGATTCTCATCCATTTATAAAATGCTTATAGGTGAGAGTGCTATAGAAAATAAGATACTTTGGAAATATAGTCTAGGTTTGTGGAGGTCAGTTATCTGGTTGAAATAACAAATATCTATGGACACAGTGCATTTATAGCTTTCAATAGAATGGTACTAATCTCTGAAATAAAAGAAAGGACTGCCTTTAAAGAAATGTACCGAATGTTTTTACATCAACTGATCATTGTTTTATTAGGATGTATATGTTGTGCTTTTACAAACATACAAAATTGATGTAATGATTCCACAGGCAAAATCTGATAGCAGTTTTACATATTCCACAACTGTTCTGTTCTAGGAGATTGTTTAATCTTGATTGAGTCTTCATTTGTTAGACCTCCTTCATGTACTAGTTTGGAAGGTCATCAGCAAAGTCCTTGGTACTCTCTGAGTTTGGTTGTTTGCTTGCAGATGTTTCATTGCCCTACTGGGTGATATCACCAGTCGAATAGCTTCCCTAGCAATAGATGGCACTTACTGTCTATCAGTAATTGCTTCTTTAAGTGTCTGCACACTTTTGTTTGTATCAGTGATACAAGCAGATTTAAATCTTTACACAGACCTAATGTCCATCACTGAGTTTTGCAGTTGCCTACATGAACATTTCCAGTAATCAATGAATGCTACATTTGTTTCTGATATGCAAATACTAAAAAACCAGAGGTGGTTGTTTACCTTAACCATGTATCTGGAACAGAAATGATGGGGGCTGGAATTGTTGCCAAGTGACTTCCAGAATACAAGCCAAGGTCTCCTTTGATATGTGATAATTATCTTTTCCATGTGGAATCTGCTCATCTAATGAGATCCAAGGAAATGGGGATGGGTCTTCTTGGTAATGCCTCTTGTTCTTTGGAGCAGCTCACCCCTAGAGCTGAATTATTCTATTACTATCCTGGATAATTATTTGATTATTGTTCTAAAAATCTTGCTCTTTAAAGGGGCTTATGGAGAGAGAAAGGAAGACGGAATGTTCTCCCAAAGAAAGATCAAGGAATTAGTGGAGGTGTATGATTGAAATTATTGGGGTTCTTTGTTTGTTTTGGTGTTTGTGTGTGTGTGTGTGTATCTGTGTACATGCTATGTGATATAATTGTAATAAGCTTACAAAAAATAATTTTTGTAAGTAGTCAGTCAACAAGATTGCAGTAGCATAGAAACCTTTGTAATAAATAACTAATTTAGTGTAATGGGGAAAAACTAAAGCCAAGTGGCTCTGTGACTGGATAGTCTACTGTCCAAATTCCAGTAACTAATAGACAACTTCAAAACATTAGTTCTGCCTTCTTATAGTCTTATGGGTAATAAAGGACTATGATTCTACTGAACAGACTTATGGAAGTTAGATGTAAAATTATTTAAAACCATAATGGATAATATCTTATTCTCAAATAATTTTTAGTTCTTTCTTTCTCTTCTTCTTTCTCTTGGTTCATTGGATTCATTTACAATAATAGGCCAATTATTCGTCATAAAGAAAATATGTACTTCTTTATTGCCTTTCTTAGTTAGTATATTTAATTATGAATGATATTTATAGCTTTCAGAACTCTAGGCTGGATACAAAAAAGGCATACATGTAAAGGAAACAAAGAAGTGTACAGCAGTTACTGTATTTTCGGAGTATAAGACGCACCTTTTTCCCTCAAAAAAAAAAAAGTTGAAAATCTGGGTGCATCTTATACAATGAATGCAGCATTTTTTGCCTCTCGAAACCCTGCCCCTTTACCAAAATGTCCGTGCATAGCTTTTAGAAGGCTTTCAGAGTGCTCCTTGGAGCTTGGGAGGGCAGAAATGAATGAAAAACGGACCACTTTTTGCTCAATTTTGCCCCCGCCCCCGCCCCCAGGAGTGCTCTATAAGCCTCCTAAAGGCTATTCATGCCCTTTTTTGAAAAAAACAAAAAAGTCCGTTTTGGTGAAAAATTGGTCATTTTTGGGAGGTCTGCAGAGTGCGAAAACTTTTTTTAAAATTTGCCTCTTCAAAATCTTGTTGCGCCTTATACTCCAGGTCTTCTTATACTCCGAAAAATACGGCACATTGTTAAAATCCCTAATATCCTAAGGGAAAATCTCATAGGTGCTCCATGACTGAAATTGCTTTGAGGACCAGCCTGGTGAATCATCACAGCTTTATGGTAGGGGTCATCCATACCTCTAGTGGCAGAGTTTCAAAGAAGGGAGACTGTTACTGAATAGACCTATTTCTTGTCCATGATGCCCCATGTAACTCTCAAGGGATCCGCCACAGAAATTTTCTTGAATATTGAATGGGCAGATTCAATTCTTTGCGGCACCCTGAGATCAAATTACAATGGTCAGATGTTAGGGATGAGGTTGGGGAGATTTGAAAAGCAGGGATGGGTTTGACTCGGGAAGCTGCTTTTTCTGTCTTAAAACGTCTAATAAATGCCCTCCAAAATTTTGATATTTATGAGATACATTTTACTGAATCTGCAGAGCATATTGTGGCTCCCAGTCCTTCAAATATTGTCCACTTTTGCCTAAATATAATTCCTAAAATAAGATTAAGATAAATTTAAAAGACAAATCCAGTAAAAAACACACTTTTTTTCATTTGGTAAGCGTCCTTGGCATGGCCCTGCCCCTCTTATCCCTCTTCCTCAAACTGTTAAGCCCTTGAGCACCCTTTGCCATTCTTGATGCTACTTGATGGCCCTGTGGCATTTCCCATTAAACGATACCCTTTTAAGAGGACATTCTTTCCAATTACAGAAAGGGTCTCCTCAGGGTCCTCATGAATGATTTTTTTTGAACAGTTGAGAAGTATGATATATGACTCTCGAATACTCAGAGTTTATTCCAGAGCTCCAGAGTCCAGCATTATATTTCCAAGTGTCTGTTTTTCCATGCTTACAATAAATGGTTTTATTTGTGGCATGCTTGTTTATCAACTTGTCATCTTCTGTTCTTGCTTCTTCAGTATCAGCCAGACTTTCACAAGTGTCCTCCCCACAGCCAGGCTGCCCATCTCCTTCTATCCCACCAGGTAAAATCATCTCTTCATCTCAGAAGCACAGCAAAAAGGCACTTAAACAAGTAAGTGGGTGAGCATACTGATTGGTTTATCTGACCATTAATTTGTGCTTTTCTGCATGTTACTTGGCACTAAAAACCTAACCTAACCTTATGTTACACTTGCTCTGCACCTTGCTCCTATTTACATTTTGCTAAAAATTCTACATAACTGAGCATATGGATACAAGTATAAAAGTAAACTAAAATATTTGTAATAAAATAAAGCTTCTATTTAAACTGTCCCCATGGAAGAATGAGCAATTTTCTTAGGATTTTTTTTCATAAAAATTTAACTCACTTTTCTATAGAAATGACAACTATTAAGATGCTAGATTTCTTTGCAGGACAGTCTTTATATATGGCAGAAAAGAACTCAGAAGGCTCTAGCTATTAGCTAGTTAGCTTGAGCGTACTGAGTTAGCTAATTGATGTTTCATTCAGTTGCAAAACTGCTGTAAAATAATAATTATTGCTGTTCTGACCTAGGCTTCCCCAAAAAGCACAAGGCAGCGTCCTGGTCCCGACAAAACCCCTTTTATTAAACTAATGTGAATTCCTCTCATTCACATTCAGCAAGGCCTGGCAAACACTCTTTCAAAGGAATATTTATGGCTATAGACCTTCTCTATCTTGGAAAGCTGCCATGTAAATATTTTCCAAATGAGGTGTTGTGCAAGGAAAGACTGGGCACAGAGTCTCTGAGATTCACGGACAGATCTTCATACTCCTGAAACGAATCTAAGGACCAAAATGGTTTCCTGCAAAAGCCCACTCCCCTTTCGCTCCTCTTTTATTTCCTCTGGGTGGGGCCAATCACCTTCCACCTGTGACTTTACTCCCAAGTCTACCCTGATTTCTGAGTTGTTCTGTTCTTCTGGCAGCTCTACAATTGCGCACACTGGGAAGAGGCTCTAGCTGTTCCTCTGCCTCACTGCTGTCTAGCTCCATAGACACCTGATCATTGCCAGATGGCCTTGGCCCCATCACTGCCTCCGATGCAGACCCCTCGTCCGAGCCTTCCCCAGCCTCCAGGACTAGTCCATGCTCCACCCTAACCTCCTCACTGTCCGACTGCTGCCAGCTCTGCTGGCTGCTGACGGGCCTTAACAATTGCTTTATCCTTGGCCCTCATGTTTTTCCCAAATAAAAATAAATTATAATTGTTCTTGGTTTATTTATTGCTTAATTTCAGTTCCTGTTTACTTTTTGTCTCATGCATCAGCTTGGTATGTTTTTCCTTCCAGACAGGTGGTATACCTCTGGTGACTGTGTTTGCCCTAGCATTTTCTTCAAAGTCATCTGTTCCCCACACTCCCCATTCTCACATTTATTTCACAGTGATTATCTCCTTAAGATAATCATATTTCCAATATAATTTGTTGAATGTTTTTCTTAGCCTTTGAAATTTACTTGAATTTTTCTCTAGAGGATATTTTTCTCTCTTCACTGTGATTTCTCCTAGATTTTCTTTCCCTTCCTTTACTTGATGCTTTGCAGAAATATGCAAGCAGTTATTTTTCTTTTAGGAGGATATCTCAATGCAACACTTTTCTTTTAGCTACCAGGCTATATTTTCTTTCCATATCTCTAACTACAGAATACAGAGTAACAGAGTGGGGAGGGGCCTTGGAGCAGACACTATGCCATTTCAGACAAATGGCTGCCCAATCTCTTCTTAAAAACCTCTAGCGATGGAGCATTTTCAACAGAGAGTTTTTGTCATAATTATGAATTAATTGTATTTGTTGAGGGGCCTATATAATATAATGTAATTATATTATTTCCTTACATGCCCATGGAGCAACTGCTCTATGTCTATATGGATCAGATTTGTTCATACTTTCTAGAGTATATCTATGTTTTGAGAAGGGTCTTTGTAATTATGATGATGCCTTGGGTATTATCTGGATACTGGGAAATTATTTTGATAGTGCTCATTAATCATTAATGAAATCAGATTATCCTTTAATCTTCCAACACTGTAAGATAAAATATTTTGCCAAGTATCAAAGGAGGAAAATTTCCCCACTTCTAAATATTTAACCTAAGCGTTAATTTGAAAATATCTTTGATAGCAAGATAAAATATGTTGCCCACAAATCTGATAACAGGAAATTTATGTCAAAATTATTTTGCAGTCTTCTATCTGATTTGCTAAATGAAAATAAATCAGTAGGAGACTGAAAACCCATCTCCAGTAAAGTGCAATATGTAATAATTGGTAATAGAACAGTAGCCCTATCAGCCACCTATTTCTACATCTCTGCAGGTTTCCTGAACAAGGAATTCTGCACTACTGTGTAGACTTTTCAGCTTAAGAAACTCCTGAATAATGAATCGCTTTCACTTTCTTATTAGGCCTTGAAGCAAAAGCAAAGGAAGCAGCATCATTGCCGAACCAGTGTGCCTGTATCAACTAATCACCACCTCCTACAGCAGCATGTGAAGATTGCTAACAATCCTGCAAAAGCTGGTATGGGCCCTTTTTAGACACACCCTTATCCATACAATACTGCTAATGAGTTTCCTCAACTCATCAGCTCATCACCCTCTGTTGACAGCAAGAGGAAGGGCCCAATATTGTTTTATATTCAATTAACCTACTGTAACCAGAAGACCAGTGGTGGGATTTAATTTTTTTTACTACCAGTTCTGTGGATGTGGCTTGGTGGGCGTGGTGCGATTTGGTGGGCGTGGCAGGGGAAGGATACCATAAAATCTCAATTTCCTCCCCACTCCAGGGGAAGGTTACTGCAAAATCCCCATTTCCTCCCCATCAGCTGGGACTCGGGAGGCAGAGAATAGATGAGGGCGGGGCCAGTCAGAGGTGGTATTTACCAGTTTTCCGAATTACTTGAAATTTCCGCTACCAGTACTCCAGAACTGGTCAGAACCTACTGAATACCACCTCTGCAGAAGACTCGAGAAATAAGGCAGTTGTTAATTCTATTCGAATGAAACACTCCTTCCTTTCTTCTTCCATCTAGTTCAATATTAAGTTTCCACAATGGCTAATATATATTTATAATTGATAATATTACATTTTAATATTGATAATATTACTTTTTTAAAGCTAATATCTTTATGGGCGGCAGCAGCACATTGTAAGTTCTCTTGTTTAACTATGTGCTGTATATAGAATCCGGTGCAGAATAGCTAACTGAACAACTTCTAAGACTGATAGACTTCTTGTCAAGCAGATACTTAATGGAAACTTCCAATTCAATCTTGCACTCAGAAACCGCAAATAATTTGTTATCTACCTCTGGTCCTTTTTATTTGTTGCGGCTTTGCATAGTGCTACAATCCATATTTCACAAAGATAAGCAGCAGAAATCTAAGGTTTCCAAAAAATCGAAAGAAAACATTAAATGAGATGCTGAACAATTGAAGCTAGATAGTGTTTCATTCAATTAAATCAATTAAGTCAATTGTTATTTTCCTTGCAGCTTGGGAAGGAAAACAGTCAGATGGACATTCAAGTAGCCCACAGAATTCTACTTCTAGTTCTTCTCCCTCTGTTAAAACTGAGCCTTCCTTGCCAATCCTTGGGAAGAAACCATTTCAGAGATCTGAGAGGCTCCATGCAAGTAAGACAACAGCTTTCTTTATTAAAAAAAAAACCTGTCTGATACTTTATCAAGATGTGAAACTTAGAAATATTTTATTTATTACTTTGAATAAAATAAAATAATAAAATAAATTTAAAAAAACATTTGAAAATGTATTTCATAATTCATTTTTAAATTTTAATTCTCCGGTTATTCAAGAAAAATCAAAAATGGATTGAACAACTTTAGAAAAAAGTCCTTTCTGTCTGTTTATGTAGGTGTTTTTTTAGTTTTCTACTTCCTGCCAGAAGAGCAGTTGCTAAATGAACAGCCAGATTTTTCACTTCATTGGGTTTACCTCACATGGGTCTCTGTTTGAGATATCATTGTTGTGTAACTTGTCTAAAACCAGTGAATTTTACTGTATATTCTGGATGAAGCTAGAAGCAGTCAGCACTTTTTAAATATGTGTCATATATGAAGTATTTAATGAAGTTGGATTAGATTAATATTTATTTACGTATCAGCTTTCTTTCTAGTAAGAAGTATTCAAGGCATCTAAGTACAAATGGAATAGTAAAAATTAAATATTAAAATTTACCAATAACGATAAGAAAGTAAAATAATTGAAATTTCAGCATATTACAAGTGAAGGCTTTCCCAGAATAAGGTTGTAGGATCTAATCTGGGTCAATCACTGGGACCAGAGGTTTAGTCTTCCGAGGGAATTTCTCTCTAATGGAATGTGTGCTTTGTGCTATTCTATGCATAGAATATTTGGAATATACTATGCATATATTTGGAATATACTACGCATATAATTTGTAATAATACATCTATATAGGCAGTTCAGTCATAGGTGGCAAGTAATATCAGATCTTCAATCTATTGAATAAATGGATCCAAACATTTATCTTTCTGATGCTGTAATATCAGTCTTTTAGTCATTGTAAGGGCACAAAGAATACATTTTACTATGAATACTATTACAGAAGCAGCATCTGGGCATTTGTACAAAGAAGAGCTATGCTCTTACTCTGATTTGTTTCCTGCAAATGCCCAGATGCTGCTTCAGTTTAGAAATATTAATTATAATATCCTAATAATGAGTTATATAATTCTCATTAAAGGTGGACAGAATGTCTGTGGAGATTCTCAATCACCCAGGTCATGATTGTCCCAAAGATGCTTTTCCAAAAGGCAGATGGACTTTCTTGGCTTTTTCCTTGAAGACATTTCTCATCCAAGAACTGAAGAAGCTTCTTGGTTGGGAAGCAAAACATCTTCAAGGAAAAAAACAAGGTAGTCCAGCTGTCTTTTGCAAAAGCACCTTTAGGATTGGTTGTACATAATGTTGGAAAATTTAAGTGCTTTGTGTTCAAAGTTCTCCTTTTTCTTTCTTGTGCTCAGGATGAGATTTTCCAGCCTCGCAGAAAGTATTCCAAGCTCAAATATTTTGTACTCAGATTCCTGATACCTTTCCTTGTCTCTGGTGACAGTTTTGTGATGTAGTATATTTGAAATGCACTGGGCAGAAGCAGTTTTTAGAAGTTACACATAAGTAGCATTTTAATAAGCTAGAGTTCTAGCATCCCTTGAGATTTCACTGACTTCGTTTTGGACTTTGAGAGGTGCCATCCATCTTTTTTCCTTTAATATTCTTTCTGTGTAGTAGAAAGAAAGCTGTCCTGTAACATTAACATATTTAAGAAGATTTGTCAAATAGAGTGGATTTCCAGACTCAAGTATCAGTCATGGAAAGGGACTTCCCCATTTCTTGTGAGAAGCAGAAGTAAAATGGGTAGACCTCTTCTTCCTAGTAAATATCTTTGGTGTTGTTGTTTTTTTCTTAGGGCAGCTGAAGAGGACAAAATGTGCTGAAATTGATGTAGAAACCCCAGAATCCATCTTGGTGAACACCAATCTGCGAGCTTTAATCAACAAGCATACATTCATGGGACTACCAGTTGAATGTCAGCAGAAGCTGCTCCTGCTTCTGCCAGAGGTGGACAGGCAGGTGTGTGTCCATGGAGGGAGGGGAGGAAACAGGTCAGGGGGTCAACTTTTCCCCATAGTTTTATATAACAGGGCTATTGTGCAGAACTTGGGCTGTGCAACAGTAAGGACCCAAGGTTCCCAATACTCAATAAATTAGTCTTTTGTGTTATCAAATGGGTGTTCAGTTTGTGGAACTATCTTGTTTTCTGTTTCCTCAGCTCAAAATTAAAATTACATCGACTTTTTCTTATTGTTGATGTATCAGCAAGAATTGAGTCTCTATTGGTTCCCTGTGATAGTTTAGAGCCTTGTAAAAGGAAACTGACTTTTTTTTAGACCCCCGGTGCTCTAATATTGGCATTTTTAATGAGAATAAAAGTCTTAACCTTCAATGCTTTTACTGTGGTTGATTGTGGCATTTAATGCAAAGAAGTGCAAGGCTACATTTGAGAGGCTTGCCATTAAGCTATTCCCATGGGCATCCATCTCCAAATATTTTAATAGATCATCCAGGCCTTCATGGGGAACACCTGGTTCTCTTAGGACAGATGGGGGCAAGCTTTCATATATATTGTATTTTCTTATATGTATGCAATATGGAAACGCACCAGAGCTGGTTCGGCCATATAGGTAGTAACTCCGGAGGACATGTGACCATACCAGTTCTATCCTTGGCAGCGCCATCTTGATTTTCTGTTCTGCACATGCGCAGAACAACCTTCATTGAAAAAATGTAATGTTTATTTCTTTTTTAATGTTGTGCGCATGTGCAGATCGTTTTAAGTGCAAATGTGCACGCATTTTTTGGGTGCCGAATCGATAGTAATGAAACACACTGTTGTTCTATGCTGTTACACTCATTTCCTAAAGTCTCTGCACAAATGAACAATCATTTTCAAATCATTTGTAAGGCAGAAGAGGCTAACACCGGTGTGTCAGAGACCATCTTACCCTAGAAAGGTAAAGTGCAAGGAGTTCCTTCTTTAAGGCCTCTCTAGGATTAATCCATTGCTTTATCTGCCTGGTTTCATGAATTCCTGAAGAAAGTTGAATACTTGGCAGCATATTTTTTATTCATCCTACCCCACGTGTCTTTCAGATTGGAATGGATGGCTTGATGAAGCTTAGCAGTTCTGCCCTCAACAACGAATTCTTTAATTCTGCTGCACAAGGATGGAAGGAGCGACTCTCGGAAGGTAAGGACCTCCAGAGACAGGTCTCTAGGTTTCTCAGAATGTTTCAGAGGGGTTGGTGAGAGTGAACAGATTTTTACTGAAAGAGTTACTCGTGCAAAGAAGTACGAGACAAGAGCTCTAAATGAAATAAAAATAATCTCCTTTGCCATTTCTCAGGTACGAATATTGGTGACTTTGGAAAACATTTGTGACATGTTCAGGAAAGTCAGTGCAGCAAAGAAAAGGCAAACATTTCTGTATCTTATTAACTTCTTTCCTTCCGCTCTGTGTGTGGCAGGGGAGTTCACCCCAGAGATGCAGCTGAGACTACGGCAGGAATTAGAAAAGGAGAAGAAAGTGGAACTTTGGAAAGAGCGCTTCTTTGAGAGCTATTATGGTCAGAGGTAAGGATTTAGCCTGCCTTGCCTGATCAACCTGCCCGTTTCTTTTCTTTCTGAGACTTTTGAGCTGCTGGTATGTGGGCCTGGACTCTGAACTATACCACTGCCCTGAAGACTGCTTTGGAGGGGTGCTTTATTTTGTATTGCACCATTCAGGAACGAATTATCCAAGTAGTCAAAGCACTTTAAATATTTGATTCCAGAAATATTTTTTAATGCTTTTGGAAAGGGGCCTAATATTCCAGTTGAGGGTTTGAAAAAGCAGACTCTTGAGCAGAATGTCCATAGCTGAGAATATACTAAAATTGGAACTTCTCTGTCTACAGAATGATCTATTGGTTAGTGCAGTGCAGGTCTCTGCTGTATTGGTTTTTACAAGGGACATGGTTCCCAGGATTGGAGCTCCTCCTGCCATTTCAGCTTTAGAGGGAAGAAAGAAGGAACTTACAGCCATTTTAAAGGAAGAGATCTCCACGGCTTGCCTTAAGGCCACAATCAGTTTCTTCTCCTTTCATCTACTATGTCAGCTTTGGTCCTCCTCAATTACTGCTTTTTCATAATGAAGAAAAACATCCCTTCCCTTGACAATCAGTTGAGACTTTCCATTATGCTGATTCATTCTTTCCTTCTGTCACTCTGTATCTATTCATTCCTAACCTAGCTATTGCTTTTAAACAATCCCTGGGTTTCAGAAGTCATCCCAACAACTTATTAACCCACAACACAAAAACTAGCCAAGATTAACATAAATCAAGCTTAGCGTGTTGTGTAAATGTACCTACTAGGTATTTATTTGATCAAAAAAGATATATAATACGGATGTGGTGGCTCAGTGGCTAAGACACTGAGCTTGTCGATCAGAAAGATCGGTAGTTTGGCAGTTTGAATCCCTAGTGCTGCGTAATGGAGTGGGTTCCCGTTCCTTGTCCCAGCTTCTGCCAACCTAGCAGTTCGAAA